TATATTATTTTATGTACTTTTCTGTAAGTGAGTTATATGACAACAAAAAGTGGTTTAAACTTTATTCTTGACCCTCAAAGAACTTTTGACAATTTATTTTACCATTATAGTTTTCTGTAACTTGACTTGGACATGATAAAACACACAGAAACATATCTTACATTTAATACTATAGCTCCAGATGTACTAATGCTAATTCATCTTTCCCAGAAAAAAGCCACAAAGAAATGTTTACTTTTCAAATCTGATGCTTATATACAAGATAAGAGAAAGCAAAAAAGAAGAAAAAAAAAAAACCAGATCTGGGGCTGAAAATTCACAAGATATGACTAAATCAGTAAGATGTCAAAATTAATGACTCCATTCAATTCTTTTCGAAAATCAAACTATGCCAGATATCAGGTTAAGCAGGCTTTGTTATGTAAAGTCACTTATATTAAGAAAATAATAAATTTCAACAGTCCCTCAAATGTAAAAGAAGCCATAACTGTATAGCAGTTTCATCATTCATTTATTCAGCATAACTCAAATATCAGAGTAAACTTCTGTCTCTTCCACCTTAGGTGCAATACACACACAGCTAGGCAGGCAAACAATGTAGATATTAATACTAATAAGTCTATCAGTTTATCTATCTATATATGAACATACAGTATGCAAATCAGAAAGAGAAAGAAAGTAGCCAAAGAATGAAAAGCAAGGGGGAAAAAATTATATTAGTTGGACCCCATACACAGAATAACAGCTTGAAGCTAGAAGAGGGCAAACTGAAGTGGGGGGGAGGAAGGTGGCTTAAAAAAGGGGGTGTGATTGTTGCACAATCCCGTGAATATACTGAAAACACTGATTAAACGGGTGAGTTGTAAGTATGTGAATTACATCTCAATACAGTTGTTACCAAAAGGAGGGGAGGAGTGAAAGTGAAGAAAGAAAAGAGTCATAGTCAGGAAAAGCAGTGACATGAGGGGAAAAGCATAAAGGTAAACACAAGTGGAAGAGCAGGGTTGAAAACAATACAAGTCCACAATCTCTCAGCACCAGTTCTGAAATCTAATAAGCTCTGAAAACTCAGTTTTCTGCTGACTCATATGGCAGCAAAACCTATCCAGATCTGTACTCATTTGGAAGCACAACCTACTCAGAATTGATTTTAGATTATGCAGAATCTTACTTACTTAGCTGACTAGTTGTGATCTGCTGCAGAAATATTAAGGTGTTTGATTGTGACATGCTGTCTCAAACTCTGGAAGGAGTGTTAAACAATTAGGTATATATGCACTATATTACCTTTCTAAAATCCAAAAAACCTAAATTCCAAAACACACTGATTCCAAGGATCTTGCTATGGGATTATGGACCTGTAGTTGTAAAGATGAAAAAGAGAGAGCAAGATGAAAGCAAAAGGTAAAAAGGTGATGGGGCCTAAAATGGGAATGAGAAGGTGGAAGGATAATGCAGAGAAGTGGCCTGGCCAAAAACCAGAGGAAAAAGTCCTAATTTTACCCTCAAAGTTCCCAGGACCTACACTAGCATTCAATAAACTGTAAAATGATGCAGGATCTCATAAAGGAAAAAAAAAGATAAGGATTCAATAAAAATTCAAGTGCCTTACTTTTCTAATTCTTCCGGATCAAATTTCCACCAAGTTTCTGGTTCATGAAATTCTACTCTGTATCCTTTTCCTATGGCCTATACAGAGGAAAGGAAGAAGACAAAAACCCAGAGAATACTTCTTAAAGTAAAAAGAAGGCA